AAAACCAGTAAGAATAGCTTTCTTTCCTTTGGGATGTGGCTGGGAAGACATCGAGTCCAGGGAAGGCTTCTGGCGCAGCCTAGTGAGCAAACTGGAAACAGCAGGCAAGACCTTAGGAAAGGGTTTGGCTGGCATTTAAGGCGGGAGGAAAGCCAGCATTTCTTAAATATTGCCAGATGGAGGTACTAGGACAGAAGCTTAATACACGAACTCATTTAATCTTCTCCAAACCCCTGTGTGGTAGGTTTTTCTATCGTCATTTTACAAATAGGGAAACTGAAGCCCCCTGGTGTGTTCCTTCCGGGCCCCATGGCTGATAAATGGTAGAAGCAGGAATCGAATCTGGATCCTTCTCAATGGGGAGTTCAGGCTCTCTCCACACCCTCTCTGTGGCCAGCATGCCACATTTTCCTCAGACTTCCAAGGTGCACCCATCTGGTCCAGAGGCTGGCCTCTTCCAGTGTCTCTAATTCATTTTCCTTTACTCATTTTAACAGTGTGAGCTGCTCACTGCTGTGGGCTGGACCTGAGTGGGTCCACACACACCCCTGGACCCTCACCTTATGGGTTGGGTCTTGGTGTCCCATCACCTGCCTGCCTGGGGGCAGTATCTTTCCTCTGTAAGCGCTGGTGCCCCAGAGTCAAGTCTAAAAGGCCATCGGAGCACACCCCTCTCTGGTATAAGCTGTCACCTTCTCTGGCCTGCAAAGCCTTTTCCTGCCCACATCCTCTTTCGCTCCAGGCAAACCTGAGTGACTCCTCCTGGATCGTGCCCTCTGTGAGGGCTCCTGCCCTCGCACAGACTGTCCCTTCCGCTCCCTTCCCCACTTAGCCCCCATGTGAGTCCTTATAAAATTGCTTCTCCTGCATCATACCTTGATGCAAAGCTGTTATAACAAACAGACACTTGGAACCCTTTTGTTATAAGGTTCTAGTGTTAGTGATTAGGCCACACTGTTATTTTTTTATGAAAACCACTGGAGAAATTCTTGTCTCATCTTAGTGCCCAAATCCGCTATACTCCTGAGAAACTGGTCCATTTACATTTATACGGATATTGAGGACGCTGTTAACTGGCCATTTCCCCCTTTCCACCTCTGCTTTCAGAAAGCCCAGAGCCCACACTCTGCCCGGACCTAGCAGGGGTGTGGGTCACGTGGTGCTGCCTTCTTGGTATCTGCTATTGATTTTTCTTCTTCTCTTTGCCCTACTTTTCACTCCTGCTCTCTTGCTGTTTTATAAATCCCTATAAGCTGCCTTAAAGCCTTTCTGGAACAAGGTTGGCCTCAATCAATAAACTAATCAATGCAAATAAAAAACTTTCCTTGCAGGGTTGTGGTAAGGATTAAACGGAATAATGGATGTGAGTTGCTGGTGCAGCGTTCCCTCCCAGGCGTGGCAGAAGGGCAGACTGCCGGCTGGGGACCGGATGAGGGTCCCGCTGGAGGTCCCCACCCTCTGTGTGTTCATCTTCCTGACTTGGCAGAAGTCTCCAGTCCACTGCCCCTCCCTGCCCTCCTCTTGCCCTCACCATACATGCCCCATTCTCCCTGACTCCCTGCAGGTAGGAGAAGGCAGGTGGCCGGGTCCATCCTCTCTCATCCCACTCCTCATTAGCAATGGGCTCCCCTCTCCCTCCCCTCCACCTCCCCTCCCCCGGGACCTCAGATGCCCTAAGAAGCGACTGCCTCACTTGTTATGTCTTGGAGTCCTCCGCATGTGGTGGGCCCACGTGCTCAAGATCATCTGTTCTGGCCTACGCATTTGACAATTGAGGAAACTGAGGCCCAAAGAGGGAAATGATGGAGCCAAGTCTCCAACATATTTCAGTTCATTCACATCCGGTCTAAGCATGGCCTTGCCATCCTCAAAGGCTCTCAGGGGTCCTCATGCCCTCGGGCAGCACTATGCTTTCCAGCACAACTTCCAAGCCTCTGATCTCCCCGACCATTCCCCCCAACACCACTGTTTTTGTCATTGATTGTTCTGTAGCCAATTACCTCGAAATGTGGTGCCTAAAAGAACAATAAATATTTATTATCTCACACTTTCTTAGGTGGCTGGGTGGTTCTGGCTGGCGGTCTTTCATGAGATTGCTGCCAAGATGTTGGCTGTGGCTGTGCCTTAGTCTGTTCAGGCTGCTATAACAAAAATACCATAAATTGGGGGCGCAGCGGTTAAGTTCGCATGTTCTGCTGTGGTCAAGCCATGCTGTGGCAGGCGTCTCACATATAAAGTAGAGGAAGATGGGCACGGATGTTAGCTCAGGGCCAGTCTTCCTGAAAAAAAAAAAAAGAAAAAAACATAAATTGGGTAGCTTATAGACAAGAAATACTTATTTTTCACAGTCCTGGAGGCTGGGAAGTCCAGGATCATGGTGCTGGCAGGTTCGGTGTTTGGTGAGGGCCCGCTTCCTGGCTCGTAGCCATGTCCTCATGTGGCAGAAAGACAAGGGGGCTCTCTCAGACCTCTTTCATGGGGCACTAATCCCATTCACGAGGGTTCCCCCTTCATGACCAAAGCACCCCCCCCAATGCCCCACTTCCTAGTACCATCATGTTGGGCATTAGGATTTCAACACCTGAATTTTGGGGGAACACAGACATTCCCATAATAGCAGGCGGCATCATCTTAAGGCTGGACTGGGGCTGGAGCACCTGCTTTCCTGACGGCTCCCTCACATGGCTGGCAAACGGTGCTGGCTCAGCAGGAGGCCTCAGTTCCTCTCCCTGTGGGCCTCTCCAGAGAGCTGCTTGAGTGTCCTTGTGACATGGCGGCTGGCTTCCCCCAGAGGGAGTGATATGAGAGAGAGTAAGGACGAAGCTGCGTGTCTCACGATCTAGTCTCAGAAGTTATTCCGTCATATTCTCTTCTTTGGAATTGAGTTACTAAGTCCCTTCCACACTCAAGGGGAGGAGAGTTAGGCTCCGTCTTTGGAAGGGAAGAATGTCAGAGAATGTGTGGACATGTTTTAAAACCACCAAAAGCTGCCCGCTGGGAGGAAGAGGCAGCAGTTCACCTGCGGGAGCCTGGTGCTTCTGTTGCATTAACGTGGTTGCACTAAGGGGCGCAGACAGGCCGGTGAGAGTGGAGGAGGACACAGGCTGGAATGGAAGACTGTTCAGTTTGGGAGCAGAGAGAGGTATCTGTGTCACAGGCTTGGGACGCCTTCCTTCAGAGAGAGAGAGGACAGGGAACGGGGGGTGTTGATGGCCACAAAGCCCCTTTGGACCACAGGTGCCTGGGGTCAGGTGGGCGGCTAGGGGACAGGAAGGCTGGGGTGTGGAGAGGAGGGAGCTTACAGACGTTGGTTCCTGCTCTGTGAAGGGCTGGGGGCCTGGGGCCAGTCGTTGCCGGGCTTGTATTCCCCTGCTTGGCATATGAGGAAATAGGCTCAGGAGGGAAAAGGGCTGCCCTACAGACACACAGCCAGGAGGTGGGGCAGCCGGGATTCGAAGTGGCCTTTCTGAGTTCAGGGCCCCCTGCGCTCTGCTGTGGCGCTTCTGTTTTGTTGTCTCAGCAGGAAAACCCAGACAGAGGGGGAACAGCTCCCACAGCTCAGGGACGGTGCGCTTGGGGACCTTGGGGGCCGTGTTCTCGTGGCTCAGAGTGAACCCTGGGACCTGTGGGGTGAATGGCTGAAAGGGATGACTAGACCCCCATGGGCCAGGCCCAGGAGAAGGGGCTGGGGCTCCTCCAAACTGCCTGGCATTGGGTCTCACGTCAGGACAGTCAGCCCCTGGCTGCCGGATGTGTCCGATGCAGGGCTCTCCAGCAGACTGCCTGGGCCCCATCCTGGTCTAACCTTGGGTAAGTTACTTAGCTTCCTGAGGTCAGTTCCCTCCTCTGCAAAATGGGCGAGGTAACAGTTCCCACTCCACCTCCCACTCCCGGGGCTGCCGTGCAAGGGGAGGCTCTGGGACCTGACTGCCTGGGTTCAAATTCTGGGGTCACCACCCACCAGCTGGGAACACCAGCTGTGTTCCCTCGAAGAAGCTGCTTAACTTCTCTGAGCCTCCCTTTCCTCCTTTGTGAACTGGGCATGGGAACAGTATTTGCCCCACAGTTAGTGTGAGGGTCAAGTTCTCACGCGTGTGAAGTGCTGGGCTATGCAGCTGGGGAGCTGTGCTCGGAACACGGCAGCAGTCGCTACGTCCTCTGTTGGAAGGAAAAGCTCCCCCGGAAAGGGGCGTTTGTTAAAGTCTGTAGGGAGGGTGTTGAGAGAGGGAGGGACAGACAGGGGGACAGGTGCCAGAGGCCCAGTCCTGCCTGGGAGTGGAAGCTGGCCTGGGGCTCGCAGAGGCCCGGGATTTGCAGAGTCCCTGCAATGCATCCTCCCTCACATGAGGACGTTAATAATGGGGAGGTGATGAAGCCGCAGGGCAGGGGTGCTGCACTGAGCCCCTGGGCCAGCCTGCTCTAGACCCCGCTGTGGGCCCAGGCTCTCAGTGGTGGCTCTGCTCCCTGCAGTCCCCGGGAGCACAGGATCTGGAGTCAGACTAGCCTGGAGTTCAGACCTGGGTTGGCCACCTTCTGGCTGGGTTACCTGGGATCCAGTCGTGCCTTCTTCTGGAGACTCCGTTCCTGATCAGTAAAACACAGAGTGAGATGCCGGTACACCCGCCCCAGGTCCCAGGGCGGCTGCGGGCCGTCAAGAAGCCCCTCCTTTGCTTGCCCCTCTGCATCTCTGGATGATGCCCCAGGGACGAGCTGACCTCTGTGGGTCTGGCAGGCAGGGTTGGGGTCACCAGTGTCCCAGGCTTCTCCCTCCAGCTGCAACCCTTCTGCCCAGAGAAGGGGAGTGACTTGGGACGAGCTGCAGCTCATTCATTCATTCAGCGCATGCGTACCAGGTGTGTCCAGCCCTGGCCCATGTACTGGGATGCAGCTGAGACTGGTCTGGGTGCTGTGTGGCCCACCGAGCTCCCTGACTCAGCAGGGCACTCTGGAGAAATCTTTTCTGACCAATGTTTTCTCTCCCTCTGGCTTTATCCTCCCAGGGACCTGAGTGAGAACACCATCCAGGCCATCCCCAGGAAAGCTTTTCGCGGAGCTACAGATCTCAAAAATTTGTGAGTACAGGCCTGGGAGGGAGAGGGGCTCGGGGGCTGCAGGGCCGCCCCTGGCATCGTCCTTGAGGGTCTCCCTGTGCTCTGTGGTCCAGGCAGCCAAGGAGCTGGTCTGAGTTCTGAGATGGCTGGTGCCAGCAAAGTCTTCTGGAACATTCTGGGGTCCTAGGAAACAGGCAACCTTTGGGGACTGGAAGTGTCATGAACTGTGGGGTGCTTGGGTGATGTTCTCCGTCCGTTTAAATGGATAGTCTCTGTGCCCTTGCCCTCCAGTGGTTTGGGAGGGCTGGGTTTGAATCTCTTCTTCCAGGTACATGTGGTATAAGCTGCTGCAAGTCAGTTAACTTCACTGGCCCTTGATATGTTGTTCTGTAAAATGGGGATATCATAGTTACCTCACAGGCTTGTTCTGAGGTTTAAATGAGATATGGAAATAAATACACTTTGCCAAATGCTATTTAAATGTAATGGTTTATTTCTCATATTCAAATTTATTCTGGTCCAGGCTTCCCACCTTCCCGAAGTCTAGCTGCCGCAGAGATGACAAATGCCTGGCGTGTTTTTCACCCCTCCCCTCCGCCCCCCAGAGCCTGTAGTAGACCTTGGTGATGAATCACTGCCTTCCTTCCCAGGGGGCCCCCATCGCAGCTGCGGTTTACTCCAGGTAGCCGCACTCGTCAGTCGCCCTTGGCGCTCAGGCTAAAATCAGTCTGCCAGCTCTGGCTGCCCCCGCTCCTGTGACAGCCTCATTTTTCAGCTGCCAGCACCCTTGTAGGTGGTCTCCAAAATGGGAAGTTGAGGGGTGGTTCCTGCTCCCCAGGAGATATGCAAGGTTGGGTAGAGGAATATAATGTAACTTTTCTTTATATTTATTGTTTTAACTAAAAATAAGAAATAGTTTAAGCTTTTATCGTTCACTATTGGGATAGACATGCATGTGCTGCACAAATGACTGGGGTCAGGCCTCTCGTTTTTTAAACTAATGGAATGCGTGATCAAAACGTGCAGACATGCCTGCCCTGGGCCACGTGCCCTCTGCTCTACAACTTTCCTTTGCTTCACAGACAGCTGGACAAGAACCAGATCAGCTGCATCGAGGAAGGGGCCTTCCGAGCTCTGCGGGGGCTGGAGGTGCTGTAAGTAAAGTCTGGGAAGGGAGGCAGAAGCATGGAGAGCCCCCCTAACGCAGGGGCCAAGGCCCAGGTGGCTGGAGTCGGGGCCTGGGAGCAGTGCAGGAGGCAGGAGACCGGGGAGGCGGGTTCCAGGCCCAGGGCGGAGGCCATGCTCTCTGCTCTCCCAGACGTGCCACCAAGGATGGGAGGACACACGCTCCTGGGGTCACTGCCACAGCAGCGTGACCCAGGCCTTCCCCGCTCTTGATGTGGCCCAGGGCGAGTGGCTGTGTCTTCAAGGAGTTTCTGACACCTGAGGCAGGAATGCCTCCCCCTTCTCCCTCTGTCTGTCTAAACCCTCCAACCTTTCTCCCAAGTCAGCCCAAGCCTGCACGCATCCCCTCCCTCTCCTTGCTCCATCTCCCCTGTCCTGCCTGACTCAGAGCCTGTGATGCAGCTGCCCCATAATCACTGTCTCAGGTCGGGGTTTTCCCTGTGGGTGGCTTGGTGTCTGCTGGTCTCCGGCATAGCCCCCGTGTCCAGCCCAGTGCTGCTCCCCGTCAAGGGCAGACCATGGAACACGGTTTGAGAGTCTGCCCGTTTGTCAGAGTGAAGCGCTGTCCCTTCCCACGTAACTTCCTGTGGGGCAGACTCGAAATGACTCTGGTTCCCATTCAGGACCCTGAACAACAATAACATCAGCACCATCCCTGTGTCCAGCTTCAACCACATGCCCAAGCTACGGACCTTGTGAGTGAGCCTGGGGGCACCCGTGCCGGGGTGGTGGGGAGAGGGGGCAAAGGCTTCCGCTGGCAGTGGGGGAGCTCGTTCTCCTCTGCACCCTCAGCGGCCAGCCCAGGGTGGGGGCTGACTGGAGTCGGAGGGGAGGGAGGTGATCTAAAATACAAGGCCGTTGAATGTCATTTATATTTGACTTTTCCTTGGGAGACAAATGATTTGTCTTTGTGTTTGGAAAAGAGTTGTGTGATTTGGGGCATGGGTCTGGGTGAGCTCAGTGAGGTGAACCGATATCCTCTGGGCACACTCCAGCCCAGGGGTACCCCCGAGCGTGCTGGCAGGGAGGGGGCAGCTGCCGGGAAGCCTCCCGCTGCTCAGATAATCCCCAAGTTGGGGCTGAGCTGTGCAGCTGACGGTGTAGACCGGGCCTGGGCCCAGTGCAGCTCAGCCCTTGCCCAGGTGGAGGAGTTCCCACTATTTGGCTGGGGGCTGGGGACCCAGGTGGGTTGTGAGCCACCCTGTCCCCCTGCAGCCGCCTGCACTCCAACCACCTATTCTGTGACTGCCACCTGGCCTGGCTCTCGCAGTGGCTCAGGCAGCGGCCGACTATCGGGCTCTTCACCCAGTGCTCAGGCCCCGCCAGCCTGCGCGGCCTCAACGTGGCCGAGGTCCAGAAGAGCGAGTTCAGCTGCTCAGGTGGGTGTAGGCCCAGCTGGGGCTCTTGGCTGCCTGTCAACTGCCTCCTGTCACCTCCCTCCACCCCTCTTGTTCCTTCCCATTACATCCTGTCACCATACATTAAATCTGGCCCACCCCTGACCTCCTGTCTTCACCCTTCACCTCCTTTTTCCACCCATCACCTCCTGTCCTTATCTATCACTTTCTGGACCACCCACCACCTCTGGTCCCCATCTATCACCTCCTGTCCCTACTCATCACCTCCTGTCCCCTCCCATCTCCCAATCCTGCCCTTTCCATTATCTCCTGTTCTCATCTATCACCTTTGTCCCTATGTATCACTTCTTGCCTCCACTCTTTTATCCCTCCTGCCCCTCTACCTCTCCTGGCCCCCACCCATTGCCTCCTCCACCATCGTCCCCTCTGCCCCACGCTTTAGTTTGTTTGCTGCCATCCAATGCTTCCTCCCATCTCCTCCCACCCTCCTCCACCCTCTCACCTCCCCCCTCCTTGCCCCTCCCATTCCCACCTCTCCCCTCCTCCCATTGCCTCACCTGCTACCTGGAAGAGTCATTGAGTTGGGCCTTCTAGCCTCGGTTTGAGGTAAGGTGGACTCCAGACTTTGCGCCCTCCATCTCCCACCTGGGGGCCCGTGAGAGCCTCCCCACTGGCCACCCCACTTCCTCTCCCGCTCCTGCGATCTCCATGCTGCACCAGAAAGACCTAAAAGGACCTACAAGTCTGCACAGGTCACTGCTGCTTTATACTCGGGGCCCCGTGCTTGGAGAGTCCAAACTGCCCTCCAGCTCTGCAAGGCTGGGGCCAGCTCATCTCGGCCTCCCCCTACCCGGTGCCTCCTCACTCCCTGCATCCTGGCCATGCCCACCTCTGCCCTTCCTGGAGCAGGTGCCTCCCATCCTGGCCTTCTCACAGGCTGTGCCCCTGTTGGGCACTCCCTTCCCACCTTGTTGCCCGCCAACTCCTCTTTACCCTCCAGAGCCCAGGGAGCCTTCTCTGACCTGGGGGAGGTCCCCGATAGACTGGAAGCTCCATGAGCACGTGGAGTACGCGTGTTGGGGTTTCCGGCGATCTCCTCAGCACTTGGCCCATGCTTGGCACAGAAATGCTCAAGGAATCTTTGCTGAGTGAATGAATGGGTTTTGTTTTTGTTTTTGTTTTTGTTTTTTGAGGAAGATTAGCCCTGAGCTAACATCCATGTCCATCTTCCTCTACTTTATATGTGGGACGCCTACCACAGCATGGCTTGCCACGCAGTCCCATGTCCGCACCCGGGATCCGAACTGGCGAACCCGGGGCCGCCGAAGCAGAACGTGCACACTTAACCGCTGCACCACCGAGCCGGCCCCAAATGAAAGGTTTTCAGATTCACAACAGAGGATGAGGGGCTGCCCATTTTTCCCAAGTCTGTGGACTCTGAGCCTGCCAGCCACGTGCAGCTGAAGGGGAAGCACCTACTGGGCTCGGCCTCCTCTCCTCAATGTGAGGCTCTGGGGAGGGGGCGGCTGTCACCTCCTCCACAGCACTGGCAGCGCCCGAGACTGTGCTTGAACACTGCAGTGTTCTGGGCTTCTGTGAGTATGAGTGTGTGAGTGTGTACAAGAGTATATGAGTGTGTGAGTATGTCTGTGTGAGTGTGTATGAGAGTGTGTGAGAAAGTGTGTGTGTGAGAGTGAGTCTGTGTGAATGTGTATTGAGAGAACGAGTGTGTGAAGGCGAGTGTGCAAGCGTGTGAGTGTCTGAGTGTGAGCACACATGGGTAGGTACTCGCGTGTGAGGAGAGCTGGGGCTGAGGCTGCCCCTCTGAGCCATCACAGCTGCTGCAGGTTTTGGGGTTGGACAATTTTCATTTTGAAATGGAGCCTTTCGCTTTGCATCTGGAGGGCCTCGGTCTCTAGCTTCAGGCATCTTTTCTCCTTGGAGTCTGTTCACCCTGGCATCCCCTTTCCTTCGAAGGGCACTTTCACAGTCTGCCAGAAGTTCTCGTAGCTTTGTCTCCTTTGATCTGGGCACCCACCTTCAGGGTAGCCAAGGGAAGGATTCAAGGTGGCAATGCTGGTGGGAGTGTAAATGGGATTGCACCTTGCAGAAGTGTCTGACAGAAACTTCAAAAGCTTGATATTTGTCTACCCCATGACCCTGTGACTCCACTGCTGGGTACATGCACATGCTTTGCAAAAATGCCTCCAGGAATATCCTGGGCTTCTCCTAACAGCCCAGGGCTGGAGACAACCCACATGTCCACCGACAAGAGAACGGATCCACTAATCGTCCATACACTAGACTACTACTCAGCAATGACAAAGAACAAACCACTGAAACACACACCACCACAAGCGACTCTACGAGCTAATGTTGAGCAGAAGAAGCCAGACCCCAGAGAAGCTGCTGTCTGATCTCGTTTATGTGAAGCCCACAAACAAGCAGAACAAATCTTGGTGATAGATCTCAGAATAGTGGTGACCTTGGGGAAGGGGCGGGGGAGCCTTCTTGGGTGACGGAAATGTTCCGTGTCTGGGGCACGGTTCCGTGAGTGTATCTGTAAGTAGAAATTCAGCCAGTTATACACTTAGGATAGTGCACTTTATATAATTTATACTTCAATTAAAATGTTTATATGCAAATGAACGAATATCAAGGACTCAGTTTTCTCACCTTTAAAATGGCCCCAATAATGTCATGCTCCTCATGAGCTGAGCAGGGGGATTAAATGAGATGCTGCATGTACAACACTTATCTCAGCATGTGGCACAGAGTGAGCACTCAAAAAACATAGTCCTTGTCATCCCTGGTGACAGACAAGGAGACTCAGGCTCAGAAGTGTTGAGTGACTTGGACTAGGACCCGGAGCTCCAGAATCTAGACAGGAGTTCCTAGTGTGTGACTCACAGTGTCTTGCAGCCCTGTTAGGTTCAGATTCAAGATCAGCAAACTTCAAACAAGTACCGGCGAAGTGCTGGGCACCCACAGTTACAGCGTGGTTCTTGGTGACCTCAGCTGGTTCATCCTCATCAAGAAAAGCACCGTGTCCCCTGTCCCCACCCATCAGTGTGCAGCTGGGGACAGAGGTGCTGACATGGGACACCCAGGTCACAGCCTGCTGTTTCCGCAGGCCAGGGGGAGGCTGGGCGCGTGCCCTCCTGCACCCTCTCCTCGGGCTCCTGCCCAGCCATGTGCACCTGCAGCAATGGCATCGTGGACTGTCGTGGCAAAGGCCTCACCGCCATCCCCGCCAACCTGCCCGAGACCATGACGGAGATGTGAGTACAGGGTGGGGCAGGTGCTGGGACACAGGCCCCCGGGCTAGGCCAGGCCCTGCTGGTCCTGTGAAGGGTTGGAACAGGCACCACCCCAGGGCTTGCTGAGGCCCCTCAGCAAATGGAGAAGACACAGTTTGCCTTGGCTGGGCTGAGCTCTCTGCCTAAGCCTGGGCAACTCTGGAGGGTTAGGGAAGGGTGTCCCTCTGTGGTCCATCTGTCCAGCCGAGCTGGGTGAGTCTGCTAGAATCAGTCAGCATTAGCATCAGTCGTAGCCACTGTCAGCCACAGCAGCCTGGGATGATGGATCCTGACTCACAGTAGCCCCTTTCTCTGCCTGTACCAGCCCATCTACTCCACATGGAGGTGGGAGCGGGCGCAGCAGGGGCAAAGGGCCTGGTTTGGGTGGGCGAGCCCAGCAGGCAACAGCTGGGGCTGGGGCGACCTGACCCTGGGCTTCCTCTGTGTTCTCTCTCTGCAGCCGCCTGGAGCTCAACGGGATCAAGTCCATCCCCCCAGGAGCCTTCTCTCCCTACAGAAAGCTTCGGAGGATGTGAGTGCCTCCCGCTGCCCCCTGGGAGTCAGCCTGGGGCAGGAGAACGGGCCTAGACCAACCGTGCCACAGCCCCGGGCAGGTCTCACTCTGATTCCTACTGCTGAGTGGCCCTGGGCAAGCCTCCGCCAGGCTCATCTGTGATGTGTGGATGGTGGCCATGTGGCCTCCTCACAGGGCTGTTGTGAGGCCTAAATGGGGTGCTGAGCCCGATCTGGCACATGACCAGAGCTGACTGTCATCCTCTCATTTCAGCTCAGGCACCAATAGGAGCAATTGTGGATGCGAGAGGGGTTCTAGGCAACAGCTGGGATGCAGGGTGAAGCCTTGTCAGGAATGGACCGAGGCTGGAGCTCCCTGCCCTGCCTGACTGCACGGGGAAATTAGTGGCCGTGGGTTTTTCAGATGGACGGGAGAACTGGTCCCTTATTTCTAATTTCAAAGAAAGCCCTGCCCTCCCATGGCCTCTGGGAGTTAGAGGGGGCCAGTCAGGGCCTGGTGGCCCCTGAAGGATTCAGCCACCCTCTCTCCTTCTGCTCACCTTGCAGAGACCTGAGCAACAACCAGATCGCAGAGATCGCCCCCGATGCCTTCCAGGGCCTCCGCTCCCTGAACTCGCTGTGAGTAGCAGCACCAGGGCTCCCACAAGGGTCCAGGGCGTCCCCAGGGAGGCCAGCAGGGCCCAGGGTCCCTCTGATGGGTGCTGGAGGGGGACCACAGCCCTTGCCCACCCTGGCCTCAGTGGGTCTCCTTCTGGCTGCAAAGTCCAGGGTTGCTGTGCCCAGCTCCCTCTTCCTCACTGGTGGACCCTCTGCAGCTGGAAGGGCTAGAGGGAATCAAGGGCCAAGTGCATGGGAAAGCTAGGCAGAACAGTTGCCCCTGGCAACTGTGGTGCTCTCCCAGCCATGGGGATTTTCCCAGCATTCTTTGCAGCAGTCATCTGATTTGGCCCAGCCTTCATGTTGGCCTTGTCTCCCCACAGAGGAGCTTTTCCCAGGTCACCCACAAGGGCAGCGGCCACCAGCTCCAGTTGTGACATTTGCCACACCTTGTATCTTTTATCCCAAACGTGCTCTGATCCCAAGTTGTGGTGGGTGATGTGAAGTTTGTGTTTTTCTTCACCTGTCTCCAGTACTTCCCTTCTCTTTCCTTCAAGGGTTTATTGGGGGGGCCTGTCAATCTATGAAATGTTGTGCAGCATCAAAAATTCATCTCAGAACTGTTACTTCATCTCTCTTTTTCCAAGAACCCTTCCTTGTACCCCCAGGGTCACCAAGCCCTTCACTCTCTGCGGTCCCACGGCACTTTGTCTCTACAGGGAGTGCGCTCAGGGCACCCTGTGGTCGGGCAAGCTCCCCGACAGTAGGGGCCATTTGTTACTCTTAAGAATGAGTGTTTTTACCTGTCCCTCAGCAGCACTGGACACATGCCTCTCAGAGATTAGGGCCTTGGGAAGTGGAACAGAATGGAACTCCCCCTTGGGGAGTGCAGGAGACTGCCAGCTCAGCGCCTTCTGTGTGCACTCTCTTCTCTGGGAGTAGAGTCTGAGGTAGTGGGTGGGGCCAATTGTGAATGGCACCCTTTAAGTTGTGCAGTGTACAACCTACACAGCTGTACCTAACAGGCTGGAGATGGGTCACCATCGTTGACCAAGGCGATCAGACCCTGGAGGTGGCGTGCCAAAATGCAGGGCTCTTCCTCTGAGAAGTGAATGAAACTCCTCCTAAATGGGAACATGACAATAACCCATTTCAGTGGGTTCCTGATGCTCCTGGGTACCTGGTCGAAGCCACCTCTCCACCGATGTCAGGCACACAGATCTCATTGACAGCGTCCATCTCGCAGGTCCTGATCTTGCCTCACTGCTGCATCTCCTGCCCCCTCCTACCCGCTCTCCACGCAGCCCACTGAGGGATCTTTCCAAAGGCAGATCTGATCACGTCTCAGAGGCTTCCTGGCACTGACTGGGTACAATCCAAGCTGTGGTCCCATGGTTGCCTCCACTCAAGCCACCCGGAGCTCCCCATGCGGGCTGGCCTGACCCCCCTGCAGGGCCTCCGCTCCTGCGCTCCCCTTCAGGAAAGATCTTGAAGCTGCATTTGAAGAGACAGCTCTCGGTCTGTTTTACTCAGACCGAATGTTGACCGGGGTGGCATGTAGGGGCTATTGGTGATATCGGGAATGGAATACACCCCCCGAACCCTTGATGCTGTCACCGTCTGCCTGAACCATCCTGCCTGCATGCCTTTGGCAAACCTTTGCCTTTTTTCTAATTATATGCAGAATTCATGCTCACTGTAGAAAACTGAAAATACTACAGGATCAAAACCCCACTTGCAATCCCACCACCCAGGTCTCAGCATGGCTAGCTCTTGGGTCTGTTTCCTTCTGGTGTTTCTGGAAAGACTTGCTTGGCGTGCTGGAGCTCATACCGCTCGCTCGTGCCGTCTGGCCTTCAAGTGTTTTGCTGTAATTCTTTGAAAATATGTTAATTATCCCTGTTGGTGGGATTCTCCCCTCTTTGAACAGATTCCTTTTGGATCCAGGTTAATTTCCCATGAGGTTTCCTGAAGGGCCGCTTTGCAGCTGCTGTGGGATCCGTGCGTGAGGGCAGCGTTGGGAGAGTGCTCCTGCAGGAGTGGGGGTCCCGGCGCCACTAGCCACTGGGTACCTTTGTGCAAGCTGGAAAGAGGCCACCCTTTCCTAGTGATCTTTACTGCCCTCTGCTGGCAACTTCTTACAACGCACCTACACCAGTACAATGTGGGGCATGGGTGGCTTAGAGGTGGTGTCATTGTGTGTGCAGGAGTTACAGAGCGATGCCCCATCCGGAGGGCTGCCCTCTCACTCTCTCTTTCTGCTTCTCTCCAGAGTCCTCTATGGGAACAAGATCACAGACCTCCCCCGGGGTGTGTTTGGAGGCCTGTACACCCTGCAGCTCCTGTAAGGACCTGTCCGTGGGTGTCCTTTGGGGGGCCCAAGGAGGGGGCCAGTCTTCCTCTGGCCTCTCAGACTGGCCTTTTCCGTCTCTTTGGGGTGTGGGACTTACTCGAAGCAATGAGCTGGGAGGAAGGCAGACCTGGCAAAGCTGTGAGAGGCTGTGGGGTCCTGCAGAGGCCAGAGAGGGAGGGAGAGGGACACTCAGAGCTGATCGCCTGAGCTGAGAGGCTCCTGAGAGCAGCCTGCATTCCTGAGGAGCTCAGCCTGGCTGGGGACAGAGTTGTTTGCTGCACGGGGACAACCAGGCCCAGCTCAGCCTCCTAGAGCCCTGAGAGTTCACGCAAGAGTTCTCTCCCGGGATCCAAGAGGCACAGAACCCAAAGGCTCCCTCTGGGCTGCCTGGGGGACCCAGGAGAACTCCGAGAGGGAAGAAGAGCCCTGGAATGCCTTTGGGAGACGGCCTTATGCTGTGGCCCCTGCTTCCCCAGAATCCTGGGGCACCTCTAGTGGCTCCTGGAAGGAGGGAAGACTGGGTGGACTAAGATGGTCCCTGTGCACGAAGAGGCAGTCAGAGTTCTCGGCTCCTCTGCATGGAGTGGGCATCCAGAGGGCCAGATGCTCTGGGCTCGCTCCCGGGGACTTCTCCCTGAGATGATGCATGCCTGGTGCCGAGGAAGGTGCCCCGGGCGTCTTGATGAGTCCCATTCTGTGCCTCTCTCCTCCCGCCTGGCTCTGCCCACAGGCTCTTGAACGCCAACAAGATCAACTGCATCCGGCCCGATGCCTTCCAGGACCTGCAGAACCTCTCTCTTCTCTCCCTGTACGACAACAAGATCCAGAGTCTCGCCAAGGGCACCTTCACCTCCCTGCGGGCCATCCAGACCCTGTGAGTGTCCTCTTGTGCTCCTCCCCTCCACCCCAGCAGCAAACCCAGGGGGAGGAAACAGCCTGCAGGTACAGGCAACTGTCTTGCTGTACCTGCTTACCAGAGTGGCCTTTTTTACAGGAAAGAGCAAAGACTCTGGGTAAGACAATCCTGGGTTCAAATCCCAGCTACACCTCTTATTGGCTGTGTGACGCTGGGCAAGTTAATTCTCTTCTCTGGGCCTCAGTTTACTCATTCGTAAATTGAGGGTATCATCTTCATAGGGTTGTTCTGAGACTAAAGGGGATGTTTGCACAGAGCTTAGCTCATTGTAACTGCTTCTTAAGTGCTGGCTACAGTTAATAATAATATTATTATGGCCCATTGATTCTAAAACACACATTATTTTTACATTAACAGCTCTGAAATTGGGCTGCATATTACAATCGACGAAGTATTTAATTGGCAGCATTGTTTTCTTTCTTCATAATACATAAGATAATAGTACATCTTGCAACTGATAATGTCTTAAATCACATGAAATATAGTAACAGCAATGATGATTATAAAGTAAAAATTAGAGAGCAACAGCTCTAGGAATTTGTTTTAATCTCTTATAGAAAATTATAAGCATATGAGAAGTCGCACAGTGAACTTTCCAGGGTTCATCCCCCAGCTGTAGCTCCTGGCCCGTCTTCCCCTCCTCGATGCCTCCCAAACTACTTTAAGTAAATCCCAGATAATCACTTATCATCTACACAGACTTCGTACATATTTATAAAAGGCAAGCATTCTTTAAAAACACAACCGCAACACTATTAGTACATCTAAAAACTTAACAATTCTTTAATATCATCAAGTATCTAATTAGTGTTCAAATTCCCAAGCATCTCATGCATGTTACACAGTTTTTGAAACAATTTGTTTGAGTCAGGATTTAAAGAAGGCCTGTGCATACTACTGGCTGCCATGGGTTGATGCATCACTTGAGCTGTTTTAAATCCATAGGGGTCCTCTCCATCTCGTCTTCCTTGCAATTTATCTGTTGAGGACACTGCATTACTGGATCTGTGGAGATCCCCTCAGCTGGACTTTGCTGACTGCCTTCCCCGTGGAGTAGTCCCACACCGTCCTGTGTCCTGTGTCCTGCACAGGAAATGTCATCTAGGAGCTTGGGCAGGATCAGATTTTTTTTCTTTTTTTTTGGCAAGATGACTTCACGGGTAGGATTGTGTGCTTCCATCAGGAGACACACGATGGCTGGTTGTCTCTCTTTTTGTAATAAACACAGCCATTGATTTCAGTGCCTGGACCCATTCATACATTAGGAACCCTGAAATGGTGATATTTGAATCCCAACATTCCTTCTTCATTTGATAATGCTGCTGTGGTTATGCTTTCAAAAAAAAGTCCTTGTCTTTTAGCTGGAATGCTTCTGTATAGGGAAACTTCTCCTCTGCTGTTTGGTTAAACTCTGGCACTTGCGTGGTCTCCTCCATTCTGCGTCTTTAGCTCTGAGCCTGGAGTTTGACTCGATGCCCTGACCCATGGGTCCTGTGATGCATGCTTAATGGGCCTTAATTATTAATATTGTTGTGGTCATCGCTGTTGTTGCCATCCCTGCCACCGTATCTGCTGGGCAGTGCTCTCCGTCAGATAATATTTTCAGGGAGTACCGGGACAGGTGCAAAAAGGTCCAGTAGAAGGCACAGCTCCTGCTCCCTGGGGACCCTGCACGTCAGCAGGGACGTCAGCCAGGAAACTCACTAAGGCCCACGCACTTGCCTGCAGCCCACTCCTGCTAATTAGTTTACTTATAGCCGGGGAAGGGGAGCACCACAGGGACATCTTGCCAAATACATATGTGAAAGCAGAGATTATAGGAAGACATTGGCAAGGTAGATTATTTTATGCAGCTGGCGGAGCGTCCAAGAGAAACACACTAAGGAGATTTCATGGGGACCCACACATGGGAAAGCCTTGGGGATGGGGAATGGGACTGAAGGTCTCATGCGAGGAGCCGTCTCCCTCTTGAGGGGGAAGGAGAGTGAATAAATCAAACAGATCGTGCTCGCTGCGGGTGGCCTCTGTCTGTGTCCATTTACCTGGCGTGATTTCAGACAGTGCTTCTGCCCACCAAGTACTGTCCCTGGGATCTTGGCCACTGCCACCAGGGTGATAGTGGAGCAGAATGTTAGAACAGAAAGGTCAGATAGTCGTGGTAGTAATACTGAGAACAGTGACAGCCATTATGTCTATCGAGCTCTTCCTGAATGCCCACCCCTGTTCTTTGTGTGTATTATCTTAGTTAATACTTACACTGGCTTGTGGAGGTAGAGCCTATCATCCTTGACTTGACTTATAAGGAAGCTGAGGCAGAGGGAAGTTACGTCACTCACCCAAGGTCACCCAGCATCTAGTAGAGCAAGGATCTGGTCTCAGGCATCTCTTCACCATCACTGAGAAATCAGTTAGCTTCCTCCTCAATTGTGCTTTTTCCGTAAGAATGGACCTCGTTATTTAAGGCTGTAAAGCAAAAGTGAACTTTCATGAACAACTATTATATATTAACAACTGAAGTACAAGTTGGAGCAAGAATAAAAGAAATGCAAATCCAAAGTGTGGTCGGATATTCTTATTCCAGCCTCAGGTGGTTAAACCCCTTGACTGGGTCTGTGTGAGACCCCAGCAGGTTTAAACTCACCAGCTCTTGTCTTATTTGTCTACAGCTCCACCATCTGTGGCTGAGGGCCCTGGGTCATAGTATTGATTTTGCTGCAGTTTAATTTGGCCCAAGAGATTAAGAAATCTTTTTTAAAACAGCTTTCATGAGGTATAACTTCCATACCATGGAATTCACCTATTCTAAGTGTACAATTCAATGATTTCTAGTAAATTTATAGTTGTTCAACTATCACCACAATCCAATTTTGGAACATTTCCATCACCCCTCAAAAATCCCTCGTGCCCATTTACAATCAATGCTTGTTTCCAGCCCATCCCCAGGCGACCACTTATCTAATTTCTGTCCCTATAGATTTGCTTCTTCTGGACATTTCATAAAAACGGAATCATACCATATATCGTCTTTCGTGACTGACTTCTTTCACTTAGCATAATGTTTCAGAGGTCCATCCACATTGCAGGATGTAAGAGTGCTTCGTTCCTTTTTATTGCCAAATGATTTTCCATGGTATGGATAGACCACATTTTGTTTATCCGTTTTAGTTGATGGACGTTTGGATTTTCACTTTGGGACCATCATGAATAAATGATGCTATGAATATTCACTTACAAATCTTTGTGTGGACAAATGTTTTCATTTCTCTTGGAACTTCTGGGTAGCATGGGAAATTTATGTTTAACGTTTTAAGAAACTGCCACTGTTTTCCAAAGTGACTGCCCCATTTTGCATTCCTACCAGCCATGTATTAAGAGGGTTCCAATTTCTCTACTTCCTTGCCAACACTTGGCGTCATTTGTCTTTTTGATTATAGCCATCCTAGCAGGGGTGAAGTAGTGTCTTCATTGTGGGTTTAATTTGACTAATGATGTTGAGCATCTGCCCCCAAAGATTTTTGGTGTGACTTGTTAATGTCTATTCCAAGAAAGACACCAGGATCAGTCTTGTTTCTGCCTTCCACGATTGGAACTGTTCGTGGAGATAACTGCATGGCCACATGGGTGGCACGTTTCTGGCTGTGCCTCTAACATGACTATCTTTTCCCCAACAGATTTTTTTTCCTTCCTCCTGAGCATTTTCCCTCCCCAGCTCCTTGCCCTTTGCAACTGTTAAACATTCTAATTTGTATCAAATACTTAAGTTTGTACAGAAGCCACCTGACTCTCTGTGGGTGGTTTAAGTTTTCATAGGTTGGTTTAGACAGAAATAGCCTGTTCCTAAAAAAGATGTTTTCTACTCCACACCCCTTGAACATTTTAATACATTTCTAAACGATATAATTGAATTGATTTTAAACAGAGTTTTCTACTAAGATTGTGACAAAGGGAAGCAGTTAGTTCAGGCAGAGGCCAGGCACTAAGGCACAGACAGATGTGGATGGGCCGCTGGGAGGATCCCAGAGCAGTCCCTGAATCCTAGTGTATTTTAAATTCGCTACAAACTCTGCCCTGGGGAGTCAGCAAACACATTCTTTCGCTGTGCAAATTGACAGTTTAAATTGGCAAACAAATGTCAGACTGGATGCAGAAGGGGTGGGAGGTGCCCAGCCTACCTGGTGAGGCTCAGAGGAGCTGAGACTCAGGGGGGGGGGGGCGGGCGCTGCAAAGGGGAGTGGCAGAGACGGCTGGGCAGGAATGGTTCTGAGCAAGCACCCCCATCAGGAGCCAGAGGGCAGAGCCCAGGAGGTGATGGACAGGAGAGAGAGCGGCCAAGGTCTGCACTGAGCTGGGCGCAGACCCTGGCAGGCTTCTTGCCTCTGCTGGGAGAGCTCTGCAGCCCCAGCAGAGGGGCTGGGCCGAGGCTAGTAGATGGTCTGAACTGATGACATTAGACAAAGCAAACATGGCCGAGGCATGGCAAGTGCTCTGAGCTGGCCCCTGTTCTGTCTCCCTGTATTTCTGTGCTGAAGCATTGGCTCTCAGGTACGTAGCCAGGACAGGTGCTGGAATATTCTTCCCTGGCTGTCTTGGTTTGGAACACAGGGTATGCCCTGTGCTGTGGTGGCCCAGACGCAGGTGGGTAAGCTGGCTGCTGGGGCGGTTCAGGTGTGGCTGGTCTGAGCCTGCTGGGGCAGTCAGGACCCAAGAGTGGGAAAGCCACCCATGTGGTCTCTCACAGCAACCCAGGTTGCATCAGTTGGTGTCGCCTGTCAGCTGCCCCTGCCCCGTATTTTTCCTGCTGATAGCACAGCCACCCCAGGAAGAGAATATGAGTGGTTCCCCAATGAGTAGCTACTCAGTGATGTTTTTTGAGTTTCCCGTGTATCAAGAGACAGCCTGTAGGGGCCTGCCCAGTGGTGCAGTGGTTAAGTTTACGCGCTTCACTTTGTTGGCCCAGAGTTTATAGGTTCAGATCCTGGACACGGACCTACACCCTGCTTATCAGGCCATGCTGTGGCAGAGTCCCACATACAAAATAGAGGAAGATTGGCTCAGGTACAATGTTCCTCAAGCAAAAAGAAGAGGATTGGCAACAGATGTTATCTCAGGGCCAATCTTCCTCACCCAAAAAAGAGAGACTGCCTGTAAAATGGTCAAGGGGAGGTAGCCGCTATGGCTAGGATGGGAATGGAGCTTACAGGTAAAGCTGAGGTTCTGCAGCAGGAGCTTTGAGACCCTCCCACCCAGCTGCAGGCCCAGCCTTGCCACCCCTGGCCCCATCCCCATCCTGACTGAGGCCGTGAGAGAGAGACTGCTGCTGCTCGAGGCCACAGGGAGGGGACAACCCATGACTTGTGGCGCTGTGGTGTCTAAGGACCTCTGAGCATTGATGGTCCTGGGTTCTAGTGCCCGTTCTGTCCCCGCACCTGTGGGAGGACAAGGGTGCTCTGACCAGTCCCCAGATCGCCCTGCATTCACTCATGCTTGTGAAGTGTCCCAGGGCAGAGGGAGGGACAGGTGAGTAGAAAGACAGGGGACACAGTGAGGCCTGAAGGGGGCTTGTGGCAGGGACAGCTGGAAGCTCCAGAGCCGTGCGCAGACCCTCCCTGCTGCGATGCTCTGGCAGCACTCCTGTGTGGTTGGTGGCTGCCCCCAGGTGGTGCACATCTCCCCAGGGACAGCGCAGGTTTCAGGCCACGAGCAAGCAGCGAGGCCCCATCCAGGTGGAGGTCAGTGCAGCGTTGCAGCCCTTGCCTCTGATCCCCCATCCTGCCCTGTTTGGACAGGCACCTGGCCCAGAACCCTTTCATCTGCGACTGTAACCTCAAGTGGCTGGCGGACTTCCTGCGCACCAACCCCATCGAGACGAGCGGGGCCCGCTGCGCCAGCCCCCGGCGCCTCGCCAACAAGCGCATCGGGCAGATCAAGAGCAAGAAGTTTCGGTGCTCAGGTAGCTGCTCCCCCGCCTGTCTGTCTGTCCACCTGCCTGTCTGTCTTCAGTCTGCTCAGGGACCCGGTGATGTTTCCTGGATGACTCCAACAAGGGTGTCTTAGGCCACTCTGGACCCACCTGGAGGGAGTCGGCCCCAGTTCTAGACTTGGGTCTGAGCAGTTGTTTTGTCCTAATCTCGTTTTCCCGAGACTGAGGGATGAGTAGGGCTTGCTGAAGGTCCCCAGGGAGGTCCTAGACTGGGACCCAGGTCCCTCTACGCCCAGGCCAGTTCTCTTTCTTGCTGCTGCTTTCAAGCCTTCCAGGACATTCATGGGGCCTGAGGACCCTCCTCAGGGAGATAGCCTCCTCTGGGCTCTGGGGCAGCAGAAACAGCATCTGGATGGGGACAGTGTGGGTCAGCTTCTGAGCCCGGATCCTGGTCAGGAGCCTGCAGCCTCCCTGCCCTGTCCCCATCCTGTGCCTTTGCAAGTGAGAGTGCCCAGGGTTTTGTGCTTCCTAAGAGGTTTAACTGATGATCGTCCCAGGCAGGGAACATCTGTGCTTGTAGCAAGGCCTTCTCCACCCAGGGGCTGGGCGGATGGGCTCTGGGGCCCTGATCTGGGACCCCAGCGTTGTCCCTGAGGTGCTTTCACCCCGGCAGTGGGGCGGGGGCCTGGGCTCTTCCCACAGGTCCTGGGCAGTCTCGGCATCATGCGTTTCTGCTTCTTTCCCCAGCCAAAGAGCAATACTTCATTCCAGGTAGGAGAGGGGACCAAGGCCAGCCTCAGTGGGATGGTGGCAGTGGGTGGGCAGGGGGCTGGGGCGGCGGGCTGCAGGGGCCTGGGAGACTCAAGGCTGCTTGGAGCCTTCCCAGGACCCCTCAGCTCCCCCACCCTTCCCTCCCACCGCAGGCACGGAGGATTACCAGCTGAACAGCGAATGCAACAGCGATGTGGTGTGTCCCCACAAGTGCCGCTGCGAGGCCAGCATGGTGGAGTGCTCCAGCCTGAAGCTCACCAAGCTCCCGGAGCGTGTCCCCCAGTCCACAGCCGAGCTGTGAGGGCCACCGCCCCTCCATGCCCCTCCCCTGCCCCCAGTTCCCACTAACCTTCCTGGGCCTTCTCTGGGTTTCCCTCTGGTCTTGCTCCATTTAGGGACCATGGGAGACACCAGCATGGCAGCTGCTGGCTTTGGCAGGAAGCAGCTCCCCACCCCTGCAGCCCCTCTGCTTCTGACTCACAGCCCTACACGCCCTTGGAGCAGTCTCTGGCCCCCGGGCAGGTCACCAGGATGACGTGGTTCCATTAGATCAAGTTGAGGCTTAAGCCATCCTTTAACTATTACTTTTCTTTCCCTAAAAATATAAATTTGCGCACATATAAATGCACGTGTGTAAATACCTACACATATCTGTCACTTATGTATGTCAATTTTCATGGCATTTTTAGTGTTAAAAGTATCCCCACTCACCCCCTAGCCTTCCTTTGAAGTAGGATCAATTTACCCTTCCAGTTAAATTCTTCTGGGAGCACCCTTTGTTTCAGTCCCAAATATTCTCAGGTTGGAAGACGCTTTGATGTTTGTCATTGATGGCTGTGTACGTTCTCTTCATTGCCTCTTACAGACGATTAAACAACAATGAGATTTCCATTCTGGAGGCCACTGGGATGTTTAAAAAACTCAATCATCTGAAGAAAATGTGAGTTACCATTGGTGGGAAGGTTGCAGTTAGGACGCTGGCCCGGGAAGGAGAAGGAAAATACCGGATGTGGGGGAGCTCGCCTGGAGAGGCAGGGCCCCCGTGCATGGGGTGGGGTGCAGAAGAGGGCTCCTGAGCTCCATCCTCCTCCCATGCCTTGTCTCCCAGCAATCTGAGCAACAACAAGGTGTCGGAAATCGAAGACGGGGCCTTTGAGGGGGCGGCGTCCGTGAGCGAGCTGCACCTGACCGCCAACCAGCTGGAGTCCATCCGGAGTGGCATGTTCCGGGGCCTGGATGGCTTGAGGACCCTGTGAGTGTACGGGCCGGGGAGCAGAATGGGCGGCCAGACTGCGGTAGGCAAAAGCCAAGGCAGATGTGGGTGTCCGCATTAAAGGGAAAGGAGGAGAGAGGGTGAGAGACCCCCTCCCCCAGCTCCAGCTGGCAGGGTGGGTACAGCTGAGGACCCTAACTGCAGTGGGCCAAGTATCAGGTGTTAGTGACTGTGGTGAGGCCTGCTTTCTTGGTCCCCGGGGTGTGAGGCTGACGCCTGGTGAAGGGGTGGAGGGAGGTTCCCTTTCATTGCCCTGGGGTCAGGCTGCAGCAGCACCACACGTGTGTTCAGTTCAGGAGTGGCCAGCACTGCTGCAGGCAGGAGGGGCTGGATGGCCCCATGGAGGGGACATTGCAGAGGTGACTCAAGTGGGTGTAGATGGGGGAGCAGGGATAGCCCACCATCCCTGGGATTCTGGGATCCCATGCCCCAGAGCCCAGCCATAGCTAACCAGACTTTGGGACTCAGTAGGACCCTGGGGTCATCCACCCCACCCCCACCCCTGCGAAGGCTGCAGGGAACCCCCTCTCTGCTCAGGCAGCACCAGCTCTTCAGATGGGCATGTAGACCCTTAGGGTGTCCAAGAGCCAGTGCTGTCCAGTCGGACTTCCCACGGTGACAGAAATGTCCCATATCTGCACTGTCCAATCCGATAGCCTCACGTGGCTATGGTGTACTTGACCTGTGGCTAGTGCTACTGAGGCACTAAATTGTAGAATTCATTTTAATTAATTTAAATCTAAACAGCTACACATGGCTAGCAGCTACTCTGCTGGCAACACGGCTCTAGAAGCCACCTGCTTGGGTTTAGATCCCAGCCCTGTCCTGGGCTGCGCATTTGTCTTCCGAGCACGTATCATGGAATCTGTGTAAGGTCAATGAATGGGTGGAGGGATTCCCTGGGGATTTTTGTTTGTTTTACGGAAAGGGAATTTTGTTATTCGCTGTGTTTTGCAGCTTGCCTTTTTTCATTTGCGAATACAGCGTGGCCATCTTTCCAGGCTGTTCATATAGGGCTGCCTCCTTCTTCTTTACACCTGCCTAGGATTACTGTGAGCTATTCATCCACTTAGGTCCTTTCTGAGGAAGACTTGGACAGGGGCCGAGAGGGGAGGGGCTGGTGCTGGTCAGAGCCAGCAAGAGGGCACGAGTGACGGCGCAGGCACAGGAAGAGAGATGCCCGTCACCCTTCCACCATGCAGAAACAACTGTGTTAATTGTTGATCGAAACAGCTATCCTTCCAGTCTCTCATATATATATAGAGACTGGCACACACATAACATATGCTTGCATCCATACAGATATTTTTGAATGGAATCCTTTAATACATTTTATTTAGTAACCTGCTTTTTCTTTTAACACAATGTGAGCACTTTTACGTATTATTAAAATTTCTTTGATGACATCATTTTGAATGACTATATATTACATAATTATTGGAAATTTAGGCTATTTCTAATTTTTAAACAATACTGTGATTAATATCATTATTGTGAAATCCTGTGCCTGTCCAGGATTGTTCCCTTCTGATAAATTCCTAAGAGTAGACTTGCTGGGTGGAAGCATAAAGTGCTGAAAAGGATGTTACCAAACACACTTCTGGGTGGGTCCCAAATTGTCCTCCTGCCAGCCCATGTGGAAGTGCCCATTCACTCCCACTCTTGCTGAGCTTGGGCATTATTATTATTGTTATTGTTATTATTATATTTATTTCTTTATTTATCTTTTGAGGAAGATTAGCCCTGAGCTAACATCTGCTGCCACTCCTCCTCTTTTTGCTGAGGAAGACTGGTCCTGAGCTAACATCCATGCCCATCTTCCTCTACTTTATATGTGGGATGCCCACCACAGCATGGCTTGCCAAGTGGTGCCATGTCCGCACCTGGGATCCGAAACTGTGAACCTCAGGCCACCGAAGTGGCACGTGCAAACTTAACTGCTGTGCCACCAGACCGGCCCCTATTATTATATTTTTAATTGTTTGGCAGGCAAAGATTCAATATTGCTTAAATGTCCTTGATTCCTAGTAAGTTTGCACATTTTTCATGAACGTTCATAAACCATTTTAATTTCTTTCACAAGCTGCCTATTCTGTGTCAGGCTTGGTTTTTGTTTTTGGTTGGGGAGGGGAATTGAGCCAGATTTTTGAGGGTGAACAGAGACTTTGCAGATATAAAAGAGGAAGAAGGTCATTCTAGAAGGAAGTCATGGGTGGGGAAGGCCATGGCGATGTGGCTGTGCAGCCTGCCTGAAGGACAGGGATGTTGAGGGTGTGTCGCCCTGTGTGGGGAGGGGACAGGTGCTGGGCTGGGGCTGAGTTGGCTCCCGTAGGTCACAGTAAAAAGTTTAAACGTGATTCTGTGGGCAATGTGGAGGCTGCTGTGGGCTTTACACGGGAGAGGGACATGACCGGGTTTAGGTTTTAGGAAAGTCTGTCGGGCATTGATGTGGAGTGTGGCCTGGAGGTGGGCAAGGCGCTGGGCATCCAAGGAGTGAAGGTGATGGTTGGCGTGGGGGCCGGGCAGGCAGGATGGAGAGGAGGGCGTCTCAGAGGCAGGAGGGCCTGGAGGGGGGCACAGGTGTGTACAAGTCTGGTGCTGTGGCTCCCCTCCCTGTGGCTCAAGGCCACGGGCACAGCGCAGGCAGACGGCTGCAGGGCACAGCATGGCTCTCCCCTCCTCTGCCCGCCCTCCCCAGGATGCTGAGGAACAATCGCATCAGCTGCATCCACAACGACAGCTTCACGGGCCTGCGCAACGTCCGACTCCTCTCGCTCTATGACAACCAGATTGCCACCATCTCCCCTGGAGCCTTCGACACCCTCCAGGCCCTCTCCACACTGTAAGTCCAGCCCTCAGAGGACAGGCAGGCCCGGGCCCCGACATCAGCCATCTGAACCCTGGGAACCCCCCCACCCCTCGCCATCCCAAGGGTACAGTCTTGTCGAGTGGTTACTTAAAAGGACTCACTTGGGGATGTCTGGGGCATCATGGTTTGCTGAGACGTGGGTCCTGCCATCTTAGAATGCTGCCTCTTGGTAGCTGTTGGGTGTCTGAGAAAGAGTGTTGGGTGGTTGTGTGGCCAGTACGTGGCGGGCGGGACAGGGCTTTGCGGGGACAACCCAGACAATTCGTGGTCACGCAGCCTGCCTCTTCCAGAAACCTTCTGGCCAACCCTTTCAACTGCAACTGCCAGCTGGCCTGGTTGGGCGACTGGCTGCGGAAGAGGAAGATCGTGACGGGGAACCCGCGGTGCCAGCAACCAGACTTCCTGCGGCAGATTCCCCTGCAGGACGTGGCCTTCCCTGACTTCAGGTGTGAGGAAGGTAACTCATGAGCCCCTGGGCGGTGGGGGAGAGGGCAGGCGGGCCAGGTCCGGGGGGTGGGGAGGGGGCGGGCAGCGCCTCTTGACCTGCCCTTTGGAGGGGTCCCGTGGGGAGGGGAGGCGCTGTAGAGGGGAGGGGCAAGGAGCAGGGAGACCCCTCTTAGTCCTCCACCTACCCCTCCATAGTGGTGTCTTTGTGTGTTTAGAAGAGCAATACTGTGCTTGTTATTAAGAAAAAAAAGGGAAAATATGGATAAAAGAAGGAAATAAACATTACCTATTAGCCCATCACTCAGAGAAAATCATAGTTCACGTTGTAGTGTGTTTTCTTCATATATGTACATTTAACCCAGAGATCCGCCTCCTGGCTGTTCCTAAGTGCTCCAGACTCCTGGAGTCACCCTGTGCATCATATGTAATGGGACCCTCTTGGGCCCCCATCCTCCATGGGGGAAAGCTTGGTCATTTCTTGTGCCAATGTTCCTGTTTCCTCTGAATTCTCAATCTCTCTTCTGTGGCCACTCCCTTCTTTCCCTACACGTGCAGAAGGTCACCCCATCTCTCATTTTCCCTCAGAGCATGACCCACACAAGGCAGCGGTTGAAGCAGATTTTTACTGAAGGTGACGGAGCAAAGCTGCATCTCGGCCCAGCCGGCCTTGATCTGAGCCCTGCTACAGGGGATTTCTCCCCACTGCCTACGGCTTCCAGCCCCCATCCCTGCTCCCTGGGCTCCTCCTACCTCGGCCCCCTCCTGCCCTCTCCAGTCTGCTTCCAGGGCCAGTTCAGCTCTCAGGCTGGCCCATCCAGGCCAGGGGAGGGTGGGACTGGGTGGGGACCTTCAGGTCCCCAGATAAGACTGTCAGGGTATTTTTCTAAACAAAATCAACGGATTTTCTAAGAGCAATTTTGCTTTCAATTTAAAAAGAAAAATTCCATGGGGCCAGCCCCGTGGCCAAGTTCACGCGCTCTGCTTCAGCGGCCCAGGGTTTCGCCGGTTCGGATCCTGGGTGCGGACATGGCACCGCTCATCAGGCCATGTTGAGGTGGTGTCCCACATGTCACAACCGGAGGCACTCACAACTAGAATATACAACTATGTACTGGGGGGATTTGGGGGGAAGAAGAAGAAGAAGAAGAAGGAAAAAAGAAGATTGGTAACAGATATTAGCTCAGGTGCCAATCTTTAAAAGAAAAAGAAAAAAGAAAAAGAAAAACTCCATACTATTCACATATATATTTTTATATCATTTTATATAATAGTAACTTGCTAGTCTTTTAAAAAAATTCTGGTTTTTTTAACCTAACTATATATTTTGGGCATAGTCGTATGCCGTTAAGTATCCTTCTAAAGCATTATTTTTTCCAAGGCACAGTTTCTTTTTATTTTTCTTATTATGAAGTGACGCATCATCATTTCTTTAAAAACAACCACCACAACAGACAATCCAGAAGGAGAATAAAAAGGTCACCATGTGAAGACCCTCCCGCTTCCCAACCCTGGGTGACTCCGGTCAACATTCCGCTGTGTGACCTTCCCCATCTTTGCTGTGCGTCTCTGTGCATGTGGGTGACACACGTGGACCTTGCAGCACCGCCTGTGCAAACCTTTTTAAGCTGATGGTCTGTTGTCTGGAGGACACCACGACGGACACAACCCGCGGTCTCCCGCTTGGCGTTTAGGGACTTCCAAAGTTCTGGTGTCATGACTCAGGCCATCAGGAACATCCTGGAAGATAACTCTCCACGCGTCTACGTGGTTTTCCCCTTAGAATGACTTCGTAGAAGTGAAAGGATGTGAATGTTTTAGAGATGTTGCTGCCAAGAGGCAGGAGAGTGTAGTGGTCAAGAGGGCAGGAGCCCGAGGCAGCTGGCTTGGATTCCAGTCCTGGTGCCACCTCTTCCAGCTGGGGGACCTCGGGCAGGTAGCTTAACCACTCCACCCTTAGCTTCCTCGTCTCTAGAGCAGGCTGATAGCACGTCCCCCAGAGAGAGATTTTGAGGACTCAGTTCATCCTTATCACACAGGCCTGCACGTGACTGCCCTCCATAACCGACAGTCACTGTCACCAGCTTCCTGGGGCTCTCAGCAACTGTGACCATGATGTTCTTATTGTCCCTCCTACACCCACTCAGAAGAAAGGAAGGCACACAGCCAGTGCTCAGTAACATTTATTGAATAAATGAGTGAATCAATGAAGGATATTGTGATAGATGAACTCAGATTCTGCCAGACCTGGGTGTAGACCCTGTGTTGCCTCTGACCAGCCTTCTGACCTGAGCAAATTATTAACTTCTCCAGATCTCAGTGAAATAGGAATCCAGGCATTCATTCATTCAGGGGATCTATTTTGAGGGCTCCTGCGTGCCAGGCCCTGCACTAGGGGCTGGGCTCCTGGAGTGAACAAAGAAGAGGAAGACACAAGTCTCTGTCCTCGTGGTGCTTGCATTCTAGGGGTGATAGTGGCACCCCTCACTGCATTGTCAGGGAGATTATGGGAGATACGGTGTCCGGCACATAGTGGGTCCTCAAGAAATGGTATGGCTGCCGTCCCCCTTCCCTGCTGTGCCTGGGTCCACCTTGGATCTGAGGCAGAAGAAAACCTCAAAATGGGTCCAGGGGGCTTTGCCCCTGGTGGGGAGGGGTGCAGCCAGGAAGAGACTGACTGGGGCATGAGGTAGGGTCAGAGAGGGGCTTCCGTTCTGAGGCGTCCCAGAGCGGGGCCCTGGCTTAGGAGGCCTAAGAAGGCCTGTCCCCTCATGGACGTGGCTTCCTCCTTCCTCCCCAGGCCGAGAGGAGGGGGGCTGCCTGCCCCGCCCGCAGTGCCCCCAGGAATGTGCCTGCCTGGACACCGTGGTCCGATGCAGCAATAAGCACCTCCAGGCCCTGCCCAAGGGCATCCCCAAGAATGTCACCGAACTGTGAGTACCCCACAGCCTGGTGTCGGGAGGAGAAGGTGACCGAGAGCAGACATTAGGTGACTAGGGGCTTGGAGCTGGGGCTTCGCAGGGGACGCTGGTCTGAGAGGCTGTGAGCTTCTCCTTGACCTCCGTCTGCGGTCACCCGATGGCGCGGTCACCCATGGCGGGCACTTTATCCCTTTAAACTAAGCTCTGCCCTTAAAATAAGAAATAATGTTACTTTTTCTACTTCACATCATCTCACGAGCATTCCCCTCTGTCAAAAACTCTCTCACTAAAGCTATTTTTACTGGTTGCATAATATCCCATGACATAATCGACTGTGATCTGTATGACAAATCCTTCTTTGTTGGCTGTTTAAGTTGTTTCCAGTTTTTCACTATGGTAAATAGCATCAAGGTGGACATCCCTCTGGTGACACTGCTGGTCAAAGAGCAGGGGTAGTTAGGACTCCTGCGGCCTTTCGCCTGATGCCTTCCAAAAAAGCTTTTCCTTTGTGCTCCCACGGCCGCGTGTGAGATGGCCTTCTTGCCCCTACCCCCGCCCTTCAACACTGGGCGTCGTGCAGCTAAAATCTTTGTTGATTTGGCTTTGGTATCTGAGCTCGTGTCGGGGGGCGGGGGTGGACGTCAACGTGTCCGGCAGACAGACGGGTGGAGAGCTGGTCTTCTTTGACGGACACCTCCAGAGGGAAGGCTTGTCCTTCCTCCTGTCCCTGGATTGGTCCCTCCCGGCGGCCTCTGTACTGGAGCCTTTCTTCTCCCTGTGAGGAGTGCACGAGGTTTTCGTTTGTGTTTCTTTCGTTACCTGCAAGCCTGGCCATTTCTTCACAAGCACATCAACCACTGCAGTCCTTGTCCTGTGACTCACCTTCCCCGTCCCTTGCGTAGTTTTCTGTCGCAGTGTTAGTGTCCCCGTTTCCTCCTTGGTGCCTCCTCGCAACCCTGGGGGTCACGGGACGGGTGGGACAGCCTGCCTTCTTAGACTGAAGAGGCTGAAGTGCAGAGGCTGGGAAAACCACTTGACTTTTCTGAGCCTCAGTTTCCTCGGCTGTAAAATGGGGCTACTTGGGCATATTGACAAGGGCCACTGAGAGGATCAAATGCGAAGGGCGGGCAGCCCCTTTGAATGACACAGGTTGATGGTCAGGGGGAGTCAAGCCTGAGGTTGCTGCTCTCTGGACCCTTGAGGGGAGGGGGAGGCCGCCGTCGGTGGGTCCTGTGCGGGGAGCCCAGCAGGGGCTTCAGCTCCCGGCGCTTGGGTCGCTGCTTAGCAAGGATGGATGGCTGGTGGCGGTGGGGGGAGGGGCGGGCAGGTCGCATCTTGAAGCCCAAGCTCTACCCTGTAGACATGGGGAAACTTGAGACTCTTTGGGGAGATTCTTGCTGGGCTTGGCTTGAAGGACAATGACTAGGGTGGCAGTGTACGTAGTGGGTCTCAGAAGGGAGGCCAAGGTGGGGAGAAGGAGGCTGCGGGAGCCCAGGCACGGGTGATGGTGCGCAGTCAGGGGTGATGCGAGAGCAGAACAGAAGCAAATGGGGACAGACCAGTGGGCAGGAGAAGCCAGCAGCTGTGGGACTGGCTGCCGAGGGAGGTGGAGAATCACGTCAGCGTCCTGAGCCTGGGTGGTTAGGAACATGGACTGTGATGCTGATAGAGTTGGAGGAAGCCGGTTTGGGTGTGAAAACACCAAGCTCAGGTTTGGAGATGTTTGGATCTGGGGCTTCCACAGGACTGGCCTCATGCACCTTCCCCGCGGGTAGAAAGGGGCCGTAGTAGCTGGTGAGGGGCCTGGCAGGGGTGCCTGGGAGGTGTGAACATGCAGACCCATCTGTTTGGCCAGAAGTGCAGAGCAGAGGGGGAAGGGCAGGGGGCCCGGGATTGAGCCCTGAGTAGTGCCCACAGACAGGGAGGAGGCCGAGAGGGTGAGACTGGGGGGCGGGAAGGAAGCCAAGAGAGGCTTCACGTCTCAGTGGCTTTTACCAAGTTCTTTGTATGGCATCTACCCAAACAGCCTAAGAAATTTACATGTTTTCTCCTCCCATAAGTGATTCCGGGCTGGCTGTGTGGTCTACATGTACCCAGCGCCAGGCACCGCCAGAGGCCGAGATGGTGGCACTAACTGCTTGTGTTCTCTCCTGTAGCTACCTGGATGGCAATCAGTTCACACTGGTTCCAGGACAGCTGTCCACCTTCAAGTACCTGCAGCTTGTGTGAGTATCCAGGCCACTTGAGGATCCCAGACCTGCCTCCGAGGACAGGAGGGCCATCAGCATCTAAATGTGGAGGGTCCCTACAGACCCCACTTCTGGCTGACTTTGTTTTTTTAATCTCACCCCTTCCCTCTGGGAGCATCCGTGCATAGAGCTGTTTTGCCACCTAGTGGCCATGCTTGGGAATTGCATTGTTCCAGGCTCCCTTGGGTTGGACCCTGTCTGCTTCTGCCCAGCCATCTCCCCAAGCCTCCCTCTTGGCTGGTGATTATTGTTAATGTGGGTCATCCTTGCAAAGGTGGGAGCCAGAGCAGAAGTACAGGGTGATGGAAAACAGTCCGCCCTTGGCCCCCAAGCCAAATATGAAATACGGCAGCTATGATGTACATCTATAACTAAGTTTTTCTTTAGGCTAACATCTGCTTTTTTGTTATTTCCACCTTTCACTCTTTCCGCCCCATGAAAATAGACAAGCCTGAGAATAAGTTCAGCTCCTCTGAGCCTTCCAGCCTAATTAACACCTCACTTCAATTGTCTTTATCTGCTCATTGGCCAGATTCTAACAAAAAGAAGTCCAGAGAACATTCCATCTTAGTTTTGCTTGAAGCAGTGCTACTCACAATTTGGTCTGTGGACCAGTGGCAGCCCGAGAACCGTCGGTAGTGGGTCGGCAATTAGATAAGGAACTTGCGCCAGAATGTAAATCATCCTACTGCCTCCTTCATTGAGAACGTCTTGCTGTGACAAAAACGTTAGCTAAGCTAGCTGTGTGTTTCGTGTCATAGGTGACTGCATTTAGGCTCAGGTTCCTTGTTCAGACATCCAGTTCAAGGACTGGATATTTTGAGTCGCCTTGGCTTACAGAATTTTGAAGCTCCAGCTTTCTGTCTTTGCTGATGACCTAGCAAATGTGTTTCGACTGTGCCAGAGAGGGGCTGCGTAGTGATTTGGTGGCTGGTGACCGAGTGCCAAAGAGAGAGACAACCCTTCTTTGGTCTAATCTGAGGCAGCTCGGATAAACTTGAGGAGGAAAGGAGGGAAAGAGGGCTAACGTCGGGCCAGTTCTTACTGGAAACAGCCTGTCAGGGGTCAGGATACCACCCCCTCCTCATCACGAGGAGGGACCACACAGTGTACGGACTGTTCGTGAAGCACTCACATGTGTATCTCGGAACAATGAATGATTCTGAGTGAGACTGGTTGGAGGAAGTTTACTAAGAGAAAATGAAGGCAGGGCACGGGGTTTCCTTTTACGAACATTTGCTGAGCCAAGAGCTGCGTGAAGCGAGCAGATGTGAATGCCCATAAGCCCTGGTTCCTCCTCCCGAATGTCACGGTCTGGGGGACAGGCAGAAGGGAGAAGCGGGAGCATGTGACGTCGTGTGGAGTGTGAGTGCTCCAGCAGAGGAAAATGCAGATCAGGGCTGTGGCTCAAAGGTGGGCAAGTGATGAACTCAGGGTGCGGGGCTCGGGGAGAGCCAGAGTTCACCACATGGGCGGAGGGAACAGGATATCCAGGGGCAAATCCATGCAAGATGTGTGGGGAGTAATGAGGGAGAGGTGAGGCCAGACCCTGGAGGCCCTGGCAGGTGACCGGGCTAAAGGGTCTGGAGTTGGTGCTTTAGGTTTTTGGTGGGGAAGTGACCTGGTCAGATCTGTGTCATAGAGAGATTGCTCAGGTGCCCACCCCTGTGGAAGATGGATCGAAATGGGGCCAAGCTGTGGGTGAGAGATGAGGTGAGGGTTGGAGGCACAGTGTGAGGACAGAGATGACAGTGGCTTGACATAAGCAGAAGCTTAGGGGGAGGGGACAGATGTGACAGATGAACAGAGGTACAAGCCAGTGATGGATAAGACGAGGGATGGAGAGGGTATGTGGAGGTGGATATGAGTGGATAGGGCGGGGTTTCTAGGTTGTCGGAGTTGTTGACCAGGATGCGAGGTGCAGCACGGGGCACGGGGGTGGGAGAAAGCACAAGATCTGGAGGCAAGTTTCAGTGTCTGTGGGACATCAGGCCTGGGGGAAATTCATGAGAGAGGGCCGGCTGGGGCCACAGAGGAGGGCACCGTCAGCACACGATGGTGACAGAAGCAGGAGCATCCCCGAGAGCACCCAGAGTGGACTAAAGGAAGAGGAAGAGAGAGGTAGGGCCTTAGCGATCCCCATGCCTGAGGGTGGGTGAGAAAGAAGCACTTGCCCAGAGACGGAGGAGGCTCAGCTAGGGAGGAGGGGAGAGCGGGAAGACGTCAGGGGTCCGAGGAAAGATGGGGAGGTGAAAGGTTTGAGAAGAGGGCAGGATAGAGTAGAGGGCTGGGATGCTGCTAAACATCCTGCAAGGTGCAAGGCAGCCCCTCAAGAATCCCAAAGGATTGTAGGGAGGTCTAGTGAACCAGCCTGCATAGAGTGCTAGCAAGAGAGAAAGGAGAGCACCCACTAGATCTGGCAGTTGAGGCGGCCCGTGCCCTTGGTGGGAGCATGTCCATGTTGGAAGGGGGCGGGAACAAGGCTATACTTGCCTGGGGCAGGGGGTGAGGAAATGGAGATATGAAGCCTGGGGGACCTAGCGAGTTCAGGGAGCAGGGTAGAGGGCTGTAGCTAATTGTGAATCACGTGCCTCTCTCCACCCCTCCCCACACCCTTGGAGTGGCAGCTGGAGCCGCTGGCCCACCTGGCTGGGGGGTGGCCGTGGGCAGAGAGGGGGAGGTTGAGGAGCCGTAAGAGAGCCAGGGTTGAGTTATTTCTTTCTAAACGATGATGCTTTTGTCTTTTCCAGGGACCTGAGTAACAACAAGATCAGTTCCTTAAGCAATTCCTCCTTCACCAACATGAGCCAGCTGACCACTCTGTGAGTCCCAGGGCGGGGGAGGTGGGGGAGGCACGCCGCCGCTGCCACAGAGACTTTCCCCAAGCCTGGCGGTTGCTCGCAGCCTGCAGACTCCCTCACCCTCCAGGGAGTGTGGCAGGGCTGCCAGCTGAAGAGACTTGTAAAAACATTTTTTATTGTGAAATACAGCACATGTACGGAAAAGTGCAAAAAATATAAATGTCCAGTTTAATAAATAATCATAAAGCTAGCACATGTGTAAACACTTAAGGCAAAAAATAGAACACAGCTAGCACCCCAAAAGTCCCCCTATCCCTTCCTGGGCATTATTCCTCCCTCCCCCACCCTGAGGCAGTCCCCACCCTGACTTGTAAGATGAGATCTTGTTTGTAGTGTTGCCATCTCCATATGCATTTCTGCACAATGAAGTGTAATTGTGCCCATCTTTGAACCTTATATAAATTGAATCATACAGCATATATTCTTTTATTTGCCATTATGTGTGTGAGATCCACCCATCTTGTGTGAAGCTGTGGTCTGTTGATATTCACTGCCACATACTATTCCTTCTAGGAACAGGCCATACCTTCCTTATCCGTTCTACTCTCCATGGATATTTGGGTTGTTTCCAGTTTGGACTATTGTGGACAGTGACCCTCTGAACACTTTTATGCCCATATTCTAAGATATTTTACTGACTGCTTTAATTATTTTCCAAGTGACTGGCTGGAAAGTATTAACAAACATGGCTTATATATGTCTGGAGCTTAAGAGTGTATCTCATTCACCTTCTCCACACTTCATTTTACAGAAAATGTGCCAAGAACTTAAAATTTTCCATTAGGTTCTGCTGCAGTCCAACACTAGAGCCAGGACGGGGTCCTGACCCAGCCAGGCCTGCAGGAGCAGCATGCCGGCCCGAGGCCACGAAGTGCGGGTTCCAGTTTCTCACCTGCACTTATCTGCCCCAGGCTCTGCTAGTCAGCTGGTTCCTGTTCCAAAGTCTTCAGGAGCCTGGTGTGAACCTGCTGTGGTCTAGGGCAGTGGTTCTCAACCAGGGACCATTCTGCCCTCCAGGGGACATTTGGCAATGTCACAGCTGGAAAAGGGTGGGGCTAGCTACTGGCATCTCATGCGTAGAGGCCAGGGATGCTGCTCAACATCCTGCAAGGCACGAGGCAGCCCCTTAAGAAAGAATTGTCAGTAGTGCTGAGGCTGAGACATCCTGGTCTAAGCGACCCTGCAGCTGCGAGGGAAACAGAGCCTTTTCCTGTGACAGGAACGTCTTCTTTCTCTTATTACTTTAGCAATAGCTTTACTGAGGTGTAATTAACATATGATAAACTACACATACTTAACATGCACAATTTGATACATTTTGACTTGTGTTCACACCTGTGGAACCATCACCGCGATCAAGATAGTGACCACTTCCATCACCTGGCAGAAGTCTCCTCGTGCCCCTTGATAATCAACCCCACCCCGCCCCTCCCAGCACCCAGCCTCAGGCAAACACCAAGCTGCTTTCTATAGATGAGTTCACATTTTCTAGAGTTTTACGTAAACGGAATCATACAATAGCACCCCTTTTTGGTTTGGCTTCTTTCAGCCAGCATAATTATTTTGACATTCTTCCAGGTTGTTGCATGTACTGGTCATTCCTTCCTTTTCATCCATGAGAGGTATTCCATTGTACGGATGTCCCGCAGTTTTGTTTATCCATTCGTCCATTGATGGACATTTGGGCTCTTTCCACTTGGGGCTACTACAAGTATCGTTTCCCTTATTGTCAGGCTGCCTGTCTGCCCTTGATGGGTTCATTTATTTGGAAGCATTTGGGGAGAGTGGTTTAGCCTGTGGGCTCTGGAGACTGAAAAACTGATGAAAACCCAGTCTACCAACTTAATAACATGGCCCTGGGCAAGTTCTTTCACCTCACGGAGCCTGTCTCCTCGTCTGTATGACGGGGCTCGTGATGGCCCCTCCCTCATCATCACAGCTTCCTAATGGTAAATTACGATACATGCCCAGCCTGCCCCTGTCCCCTCTGGAGGTGATGCACTGAGATGGTATGTTCCCCGGGCAGGTGCTTGTCAGGGTCAACTTCACAGGGCCTGCACCTGTGCCCCTTGCTGGTGCAGCCTCCACAAGGGGATGTCCTCAGTCCTCCTAATAGTGGCTCCCCGTTACTGAGCCGTTATTGGGAGCCAGGCACTGAGCTGGGAGCTTCCCCTGGGGGGTCTCCTTTAACCCGCAGAAGAGCCTATCAAGTTGGCATTGTTTTTGTCCCTATTCTATTGCCGAGGGAGCTGATTAAGGCATAAAGGGGCGAGGGGACATGCTGGAGATCACTGGTTTACTAGGCCAGAGCCTCAGCCCATGCTCTCATCCACTGCTTGGCCTCCCCCACAGAGCTGCTGAGCAAAACTGCCCCTGTGTCCTGAGCACTTCCCTGGGCCTGCAGGGGCCTGGGCGGCACTGTGGTGCCTCCCGCCTCATTCTTCCCCTCTCCCCCACTTCCTCCTCTCTCCCTTCCTCCACCTCTCCCCTTTTCCTCCCTCCCTCCTCTCTCCCTCCCTCCCTTCCACAGGATCCTCAGCTACAACGCCCTCCAGTGCATCCCTCCTCTGGCCTTCCAGGGCCTGCGCTCCCTGCGCCTACTGTAAGTCTCCCCGCTCTTCATTCCTCCAGGGAAATCTGCCCCACTGAGGGCCCTGCCACCCACCCAGTGGGCAGTAAGGTCCCCACATCTGGGGCCCCAGCGGGGCCAACTATGTCCAAAGGTGGGAGGCCAGTCCGCTCTTATTCAAGCCTCTGACAGAGACTGAGGAATGAATGGGACACTATCTGAGAAATGGGGGTTGCTGTCTGGCCCCAAGTCGTGTTAGGGGTGAGTGTTGGGGGAGGATGTTATGGGGCAGCATCCAAGATAATCTAGCCCTTCATTTGTGAGTCTCCTGTTCAGATGGAGAATGCTTGTTTGCAAGAGATTCGTGAACCTTTTCTAAGAGTTCCCACTGTGAGGTTTTTGCCCTGTGATCAAAGCCCTCTGTCACGCCTGTTGTGATGGCCTCTCATGTATCTATGCATGAGAGTGGTCTGGCAGCCCCTCCTGGGGCAAGGTGACATTCTTCACCCCCAGCCTATGGCTTCCCAGAGTAACTTCCTTACCAAAAAGATGCCTACTCCCTCACGTTCCTGGCCCAAGTGAGGGAGGGCACACGGTTGCACACGTTCCATGTGTTATATAAACAGAAATGGTGCTTGAGTTATTTATGATGGCAAAAACAGAGTCATCCAGAAGGGCCAAGGGGCAGGGTGGTCTATGTGGATTATTAGGGGCTCCCACTCACTTGCTGGTGGCCAAGAGGACAGGGTCTCTGAGCTGGGGGCCATCTCCCCCATAGACTGAGACATCTGAGGGGTAAGACGCCAAGTCCCTCTCAGCAGAGGGCCACGCCCATCCCTCCATCAGTGCTCACGTGTCTCTCTCTAGGTGAGGCACTGACGGCTTCTTCTCTCCTCAGATCCCTGCATGGCAATGACATCTCTACCCTCCGAGAGGGCATCTTCGCAGACGTGACCTCCTTGTCTCACCTGTAAGTAACTCTGGCCCAATTCTCAGGGCCTCTTTGGATTTAAACAGAACTTGGATTCCAGGAAAGACCTCACCTCCTGAGACTGTCAGAGTTTGTTGCTTTTACCTGAAACTAATTAAGGTTGTGAACTTCACGTGCTCCCCATCTCAGGCTCTTACACATTCTGTCTTTCATCAGTCGCAACAACGGAATTTGAGAACAGTTCTTCACAAGCAGTAATAAAAGTAGTAATGACCATTTATTGATTGCCAAGCACTCCACCTGCATCACCTAATTTAATCCTCACAGCAATCCTACAACCTAGGTAGTGCTATTCCCATTTTACACGTGAGGACACAGGACCAGAAAATGTGAGAAGCTCACCCAAAGTTGTGTAGCTGGTAGGGCTGGAGTCTTCTGTCTCTGTTTCAAAAGCCCGTGCTCATAAGCATGACACCAGTATTGTGCCTCTGACATCACATGGTGGGGGATAAGCTCCAGAAATTTCCTGACCCCAAGAAGTGGTATAATTGGATATAGAATTGCTTCCAAAACCATTTAGCTGACAGCATCATGAGGATTCTTAAAAAATAGTAAGCTCAATTCCTCTAAAAGCTAAAAGTAGAATTCCCATATGACCCAGTGTTTCCATTCCTAGGTATATGCCCAAAATAATTGAAAGCAGGGACTCAAATAGAAACTTGTATACCAATGTTCATAGCATTATTTACACTATAGCCAAAAACTGGAAACAACCCAAGTGTCCATTGACCGATGAATGGATAAACAAAATAAGGTGTATACATACAATGGGATATTATTCAGCCATAAAAAGGAATGCAGTTCTGATATGTGCTACAGCATGGAGGAACCTTGAAAACATGCTAAGTGAAATAATCCAGACATAAAAGGACAAATATCGTCTGGTTCCACTGATATGAGATACCCAGAATAGTCAAAATCATAGCTACAGAAAGGAGAATGGTGGTTTCCAGGGGCTGGGAGCAGGGGAAAGTGGAGAATTTTTGTTTAATGCATACAGAGTTTCTGTTTGGGGTCATGAAAGAGTTTGGAAAGAGATAGTGGTAATGGTTGCACCATGCTGTGAATATAATCGAGGCCACTGAATTGTACACTTAAAAGGGTCAAAATGGCAAACTTTGTGTTATACATTTTTTACTACAATAAAAAAAAAGAAAAAAGCAATGAGAAGAGTGATGTCAACAACATGGCAGAATGAGTTGTTCCCTTTGTCTCTCACCCTTCCAACTAAAACTAAATGGACATTCATTGATCAGTGGAGGATACACACACAGCACATCAGGACGCCTGAGAGACCCATGCAGCTATACATCTGAAGGGGGATGGAGGGGCCAGGCCGGTGGTGCAGTGGTTAAGTTTGCACATTCCACTTTGGCAGCCCAGGGTTTGCCAGTTTGGATCCCGGGTGTGGACATGGCACCGCATGGCAAGCCATGCTGTGGTAGGCATCCCACATAGAAAGTAGAGGAAGATGGGCATGGATGTTAGCTCAGGGCCAGTCTTCCTCAGCAAAAAGAGGAGGATTTGTGGCAGTTAGCTCAGGGCTAATCTTCCTCAAAAAAAAAAAAAAAAGGAAAGAAAAGAAAAGAAAATGAAGGGGGATGGACTACCCAGAGGGAGGTGGTGGAGATAGGTGAGCACTCTCCAGCCCCCTGGCAGCCCTGTACATGTGTGCGACTGCTCTCCCAGCTGGAGTGCTCATAGCGCTGCTGCGACCCCAAGGGTGGGAGTGCACCTCGGCATGACTGTGGGAACAGTTGATGGCAGCCCTGAGCCGCCACATGATCACTTTCCCATCTGGTGAGAGGGCCCACAGTGTTGCCACAGTCTCTAGGGAGTGGGCCAGGCTTGGACCCAGTGGGGAGGCCCAGCCCACCAAACACAATGGCTAGTGTGACCTAGAAAGAGGTGGCAGATCTGCTTGCCCAGGGGAACAAGTTTCCAGCTTCTGTGAACACCTTTAGTACTGCTGTGGCCCCAAAGTGGGGAGCACATCTCGGCAGCACTGTGGGAGCAGGTGGCAGCAGCCCTGAGCCTCCGCATGATTGCTTTCTCATCCAAGGGGATTGCCCACAGGGCCACTGTGGTCCCAAGGAGTGGCCCAGGCTTGGGCAGGCATAGCTGACAAGGATCATAGCAGGCTCAGATCACACAGCTTTTGACCCCCACCCAGTGACAGCAGGTGGAAGCTGCAACCAGATACTATCACTATGCAGAGGCACAAATCCATGCAATCAAACAGTATGAAAAAATAATATTAAATCTCCATACAAGAAGGAAAATGACAAGCACCCAGAAATCAACCCTGAAGGCACAGAAATCTGTAATCTAAATGACAGAGAATTCAAAATAGCTGTCATAAAAGACTCAGCGAGTTACAAGAGAGTCAGAAAGAACTGTCAGAAAGACAGTTCAATGAAATCAGGATCAAAATTAATGAACAGAAGGAGTTCATCACAAAAGAGATTAAAACTATAAAGAAAAACCAATCAGAAATGTTGGAGGTGGAAAACATAATGAATGAGATAAAGAAAAATTTGGAGTCCTTAAATAACACAGCTGATATTATGGAGGTTAGAATCAGCAATTTAGAGGACAGGAATATAGAAATGCTTTAGATGGAGGAGGAGAGAGAACTAAGACTAAAAAGAGATAAATTCTCCAAGAAATATCTGACTCAATTAAGAAATGCAAGATAAGGATTATAGGTATTCCAAAGGGAGACGACAGGGAGAAAGGAGGAGAGAGCTTCTTCAAAGAAATAATAGCTGAGACCTTCCCAAACATGGGGAAGGAGCTGGAATTACAAGTAAAAGAAGCTAATAGAACTCTTAATTATATCAATGTGAAAAAACCTTCTCCAAGGCATATATTAGTGAAACTGGCAAAAATAAATGACAAAGAAAAATACTAAGGGCAGCAAGGCAGAAGAAAATAACTTACAAAGGCACCCCATTAGGCTTTCAGTGGATTTCTCAGCAGAAACCTTCCAGGCTGGGAGAGGGTGGAATGATATATTCAAAATTCTGAAAGACAAAAACTTTCAGCCAAGAATACTCTATCCAGCAAAAATATCCTTCAGATATGATGGAGAAATAAAAACTTTCCCAGATAAACAAAAGCTGAGGGAGTTCCTTGCCACAAGATCCCCCCTGCAAGATATAATCAAGCAAGCCCTCATACCTGAAAGAAAAGAAAGGGTTTACAAAGCCTTGAGCAAGGAGATAAATAGGCAGACACAATCAGAAAATTACAACTCTCTATCAGAACAGATTAGCAAACAATTATGACATTAGAGACAGAGGGAAGGAACGCATCAAGAATAAATATAATCACTTCATTTTAAGCACAAACTCACAACACAAAATAGAATAAGTTGTGACAATAGTACCTTAGAAGAGGAAGAGGAAAAGGATGGGATCTGCTTAGACTAAGGGAATAAGGAGCTATCAGGAAATGGACTATCTCATTCGTGAGATCTTTCATACAAACCTCACAGTAACCACTAATTAAAAAATCAGAACAGAGAAATAAATGATAAATAAAGAGAAAACTGAGAAAACCATCATAGAGAGCCACCAAACTGAATTGTCAGTCTGAAATACACAGAACAAGAAACAAGGGAAATATGGAACAACTGGAAAACAAGTGATAACATGGCAGCATTAAGCCCTCATATATCAGTAATCACTGATGGAAATAAGAGGCTATCAGAAAATGGACTGTCTCATCTATGAGATCTTTTTATTTTGAGGAAGATTAGCCCTGAGCTAACATCTGCCACCAATCCTCCTCTTTTTGCTGAGGAAGATTGGCCTTGAACTAACATCCATGCCCATCTTTCTTGACTTTATATGTGAGATGCCTGCCACAGTAAGGCTTGCCAAGTGGTATGTAGGTCCATGCCTGGGATCTGAACTGGAGGACCTTGGGCTGCTGAAGCAGAGCATGCAAACTAAACCACTATGCAGCCAGGCCAGCCCCTATGAGATCTTTTAAACAAACCTTGTGGTAACCACCAAACGAAAAATCAGAACAGAGCCACAAATCTTAAGTAAAGAGAAACCTGAGAAAACCATCACAGAAAACCACCAAATTGAAATGTCAGTCAGAAATACAAGAGAAAAGAAACAATGGAAATATAGAACACCCAGAAGACAAGAGATAACATGGCAGTATTAAGCCCTCAGTAATCACTCTAAATGTAAATGGATTGAATCTCCAATCAAAAGACACAGAGTTGCTGGCTGGATTAAAAAACAAGACCCAACAATATTCTGCCTCCAGGAAACCCATCTCAGCTCTAAAGACAAATACAGGCTTAGAGTGAAGAGATAGAGGATGATACCCCAAGCTAATGGAAAACAAAAGAAAGCAGGTGTTGCCATACTTGTATCAGACAAAGTAGACTTCAAGATAAAAAAGACAATGAGAGACAAAGAGGGGCAGTATATAATGATAAAAGGGACACTCCACCAAGAGGACATAACACTTATAAATATACGTGCACCCAACACAGGAGCATCAAAGTACATAAAGCAACTATTAATTGACCTAAAAGGAGTTATTAACAGCAACACAATAATATTAGGGGACCTTAACACCCCACTTTCATCAATGGATAGATCATCCAGACTGAAAGTCAACAAGGAAATAGTGGAACTAAATGAAAAACTAGACCAGATGGACTTAATATATATATATATAGAACACTCCAACCGAAGTCAGCAGAATACACATTCTTCTCAAGCACACATGGAACAGTTTCAAAGAGAGACCATATGTTGGGAAACAAGGCAAGCCTCAAGAAATGTAAGAAGACTGAAATCATATCAAGCATCTTTTCCAACCATAATGCTATGAAACTAGAAATCAAGTAAAGAAAATGCTGGGAAAATGACAAACATGTGGAGACTAAACAACAGGGTACTGAACAACAAATAGATCATTGAAGAAGTTAAAGGAGAAATAAAAAAAAT